AGAGAGAGAGAGAGAGAGAGAGAGNGAGAGAGAGAGAGAGAGAGAGAGAGAGAGAGAGAGAGAGAGAGGACATGGGAGGAATGGTCGAGGAGAGGGATGAGCTGGGACGTAGAGGAAGCTTACCGTGGGGGGATACTGCATGCTTGCAGGGGTCCCCTGTATAGCTTTAGGAGAAGTGGCAGGTAGGTATTGAAAGGTGAAGTTGAGAGAAGAATATAGCTTAGTTTTAGGAGGGTTGAGGGGGGGAGGGGGCGAAGTTGGCAGCCTGGTAGGGGGCAAATCTGGGTGGAAACGGTTTGTGACAGGCCGTGTGCGGAGAGGGGCAGAACGCAAACGTGGAGAACCCCCTCACAGGGATCGAGAGCAAAGAATAAAAAAACAAAAGGCCATTTCAATACCCCTCTGAAGATTCAGTAGTCTGCGAAATGCCCTTTTGGATGTGAATCTTTGCGTTATATCCTTGTCCAGGGGTTGGCAAGTTCGTGCTATACCCTCCCTGTCTGGGCCAGGCAGAATGCAAACTTGCACAACCCCCTGACAGGAGTGGTCCCATTGGATTTAGATACAGGAGGGCATTTCACAAACGTTTGAAACTTCAGAGGGGTATTCAGGTCTACTCACATCTTATAGGGGTATGTTAGTATCTCCGAGGACTTTCAGGGGTATTTCGCAAATGTTCCCAATGTTAGAAGGGTATTCCCCTCTATCCACATCTCTGAGGGGTATTTTAGCATTAACATGAAGTTTTAGGGCCATCTCGCACATTTCCCCTTCTCTTGTTTTTTCTTGAATGTCAACGAGGGCTTACCTTCCTCAGGGAGGGATATGAGACCGTGCCTGATGAAGGTGCCCTTTGTTTTGGTGTCTCCAATCTTATTCGTGGGAAGCAGCATGTCCCTTTCACACAACAGAAAAAGGTTGTGTGTTTACCTGCGGAGCCATCCCTGGACTCTCTCTCTTTTCCGTCTCCTGACTTTTTTTTTTTTTGTTTAATCTGAAAGGCTAATTCTTTTTAGCCCAACCAATTCAATCACCAGTCGAATTCAGGCCCTTCTTTATTATCATTGTAGAATTACGGGGAACCCCATAGCAGGCAGCTGCCCGAGTTCAAGCCTCTTCGCCCGACCTGCATGCAGTTGGGCCATACCGGCCAGGGGGCATCTCCCTACGAACATCAGCAGTCTTGCTCAATCTCCCTCCGGGGGACAACAGAAAAGGTTTTGGAGAGACCCGCACACCGGTTTCCAAGGAAAAAACGGAGAATGCGATGGGAGAAAGAGGGGTGACGTCCCTAAGTGCGTACTAGGTGTAAGCACGAGGTGGCATGACTAACTACGAGCGGGAAAAAGGAGACTGGGAGTCCTAGATATTTGAATTGAAAGAAGACTGGCAGCAGAGACGAGAAGAGGGGTGAGTTAGTTAATATAGGGAGGCAGGCACGTGGCCTGCACGAGCTCGGGTATGACTTTTATGAGTCTGACCAGAAGTAGGAAGAGAAACAGTCCAGTCACAGAAACAGTGAAGTCAGAGTTGTGGCGGACAGATTCTCGAAGTATGAGATATTCATTGACCAGAAGGGACATCCGTTAAAATTGGAACGATACAAAGAAGATTAGCATGGCAAAAAAAAAAAAAAAAAAAAGTAGGAAGAGAAACAGTCCAGTCATAGAAACAGTGAAGTCAGCGTTGTAGCGGACAGATTCTCGAAGTATGAGATATTCATTGACCAGAAGGGACATCCGCTAAAATTGGAACGATACAGAGAAGATTAGCATGGCAAAAAAAAAAAAAAAAAAAGTAGGAAGAGAAACAGTCCAGTTATAGAAACAGTGAAGTCAGCGTTGTAGCGGACAGATTCTCCAAGGATGAGATATTCATTCCAGTTTGCCAAAGCACAGACTGACTTAGTCATCCAGGAATTTCAGATGCAGTGGATCTCTGAGTATGGATTTCCAAAAACTAGTGTCTTTGACCGACATGTCTGATTCACAGCACAGCGCTGGCAGAAACTGACGGACGTCTATAGGACTCAGTTGACCATGCCGTCAGGAAGACTTCCTGAAGCAAATGGCCAAACTGAGCTGAACAACTTCTTCATATGTACGCAGGCCTGATCAAATAGATTGCGATGAGTAACCTACCGAAGATAGCAGGCACATAAAACAACTCAGTCTGCATTCTGACAGGGAGAACACCTAATGCACTGCATAAGGGTTGGCAACCTAAGACACCTATTGATTCCTTGATTAGGGATCGGACTCTCAGGTTACCACCAGTAACCAGAGATTTGCAGTTTCCTATGAACAAGATATCCAGGAAGGCTCAGGTGCAGATGATTGAGCAACCCAACAAACAAAGATAACTCAAGGTGAGCTTATCAGTTTCAAGAAGGCGGCCTACTAGGTAGTTTGGGTGAAGTCTGATAAATTCGCTCTAGAAGAATCACATTACCTGTCTACTTTGGTCCATGGGAAGTTCTCAAAGTGACTGGGGATCAGGACGGACCATCCTATGTGATAGATATACCACCACATCTCATGGCACACCCAGCCTTTCATGCATCTAATAGTATGCAGAAGGTGATGACTTTCCCAGTCGTTGATTAATAATACCACTGACAGTATCTGGATGGTATGAAGTTGAAAGGGTCCTAGAACATGGGTTTTTCTCTACAGGTGGCAGAGGAAGACCTCAGAAACAATACAAAGTTCCGTTCTCAACCTGAATCAGAAAGCAGATGGTTTAGTAAAAAAGAACTTTAAGTTAATGTCTGTTGCTGCAGATATATAATTCTGGGATATGAGAAAGGGTTAAGCCATAAGGGAAAAGCCGTAGCTGATGATGTTTGGAATCTCTGCCATGGTTCTTGAATTCCGGATGGTGAGAGACCGTGAGACTGCAAAGAACCCAGTTCAAAATCTGCACAGTCACAATCTAGGGTCGTAGCTTTTGGTCCAGGTCGAGATTCAGGGGTCAAAATGCACATCTCCAGTCCTAGAAGGGTTGTGGAAAGTCCGAGGGTTGCCTGCGCCCCCAGGAACCAGTAGTTGACTTTAGGAAATCAAGCGTCAGGCCCGGCATGGGCCAAACTGTCAGAGGGCCAGAGATCTCTCAAGAGTCACCCTGGCCAGAGAT